GGATGACCACACTTCTGGTAACATGGAGGTGTGGTCTAATATGCTAATGAGCTATGCTGTCAGGGGTGTGACCTAATATGCTAATGAGTTCCTGCTGCAAGTAGATAATTTATCTGAACAGGTGTTTTTTTTTTGGCAACAATCTATTCCTGCTACAAGTAGATCATTTATTTGAACAGGGGTGTTTTTTTGCAATAATTTATTCTATTTATTTTTCATGTGACTATACAGGCACATTGGTGTGATAAGAACATAACTTCCTTTTACAAACCAAACCAACCGCACTCATATATAGCAAAGTTCACTGCTAATTTGCCAATCTAAGGAAACTGGACTTTAAAAAGCTGAACCCAGGAGGCTTTGTATAGCAACTATCACAAAAATAAAATAGCAATACTAACTTGATCTGTATTTTCATGCTGGTTGTAGGGTAGCTTCCGGTGATGTCAGGGGTGTGTGGCATATGCAAATAAGTTATGCTAATGAGTTATGCTAATGAGCTCCTGCACCTCTTTTCCTACGAAATGACCCCTGAGCACCACTGAGATACTTTGAGAAGTGCTATATTGGTCTAGTGCTATAGTAAAAAGTAGAAAATAGACCTTAACTTAGAATGTTAAAAAGGTTTGAGGAAGATTGAATGGCAGAAAAGGGCAGGGTGAAGAACGCAGCAGTTTGAAACGGCCAAGAGCGATTCAGAGGCAGCTCATCAACAGAATGAAATTCACTGTGTGAAACCCCCGTCCCTATATCCCTTTACTTGGAATCGGGCCAACAACGGATAACGTCAGGTTTGGAATGGTAACGTGGAAGGGGCCCTACAGTTTGGGATACTGGGGATATAGTCACCCTACTGAGTAGACAGTACCGGTCTAGACAGAATGACTACTCTCTTGAGCAGTTACATTCTTCTAAGCCCATTGACCTTATTGGGCTTAGAAAGGTGTATCTCTGCTTAGGATAAAAAAGTCAGCCATTAGACTGTCAAGAGAAATTTTTGTTTCCATACAACCTTATTGTATAATCATCCAACTTTCAGGTTTCCCTCTGCTTTGGTGTGTGTTTTCCAGAATCAGTGTGGGCTTGGTCACCATATGGATGGTAAAATGCAGTTTTTTGGATCTTCATGCCCATTCCTTTACCACCGTAGTGATTTTTTCTGCTGTTGTTTTAAGAAAATTGGCTATAGGCAGGGCTTTTTTTGTAGGAAAAGCCCAGCAGGAACTCATTAGCATAATAGACCACACCCAACAGCATAAACTCATTAGCATATTAGGCCACACCCCCAACTGCACAGCTCATTAGCATATTAGGCCACACCCCATGTTACCAGAAGTGTGGTCATCCAGCCACACCCACCTTTTGCTTCTTATTCTGTTTACCTTGTTTGTTGTCAAAACCCGGGGCTTTTTTTGTAGCAGGAACTCCTTTGCATGTTATGCTACACAGCCCTAATGTAGCCAATCCTAATGAGTTTCTGCTGTTGGGTGTGGCCTATTATGCTAATGAGTTCCTGCTGGGTGTGACCAACTCCGAAGCCAGCCGGAACTCCGTTCCTGTGCGTTCCTGCCCAAAAATAGCCCTGGTTATAGGTATATTGCAGTAGTCATAAAATTACAGTGATATTCCTACAGCTGGTGTTTTAAGGTAAAGCTTTCCCTTGCCCAAAAGCCAATTGAATCCGACTCTAGGGTTGCGGTGCTCATCTCTGTTTCAAAGCCGAAGAGCCAGCGCTGTCCGAAGACGTTTCCGTGGTCATGTGGCCGGCATGGCTAAATGCCGAGGCGCACGGAATGCTGTTACCTTCCCACTGAAGCGGTACCTATTTATCTACTTGCAATTTCTTGCTTTCGAACTGCTAGGTTGGCAGGAGCTGAAACTAGAGACGGGAGCTCGCTCGGTCATGCGGCACTCGGGTCTCGAACTGCTGAACTACTGACCTTCCAGCCTGCAGTTCAGCATCTTAACCACTGAGCCACCGCAGCTCCTTGCCGATGTTCTAGCCTGTTAATAATAGAAGAGAAAAACACTGAGTGGAGCACTATGGCTGTGTATTAAGAGCCACTGCGCTACTTTAGCTTTTTGCTTCCATGAGAAAGAAACACAGGACAAGAAGTTAAGCATTTTACTGGAGCTTTATAGACAGATTCTGAAAAAATAGCTGCTTTTTGGTAAAAGAGTTATTACCCCCTGTGTACTGTTTCTAAGGTGGACAATATCAACCTATTTACAAATAAAGCAAGGCAAAGAGCAAATGGCAAGAACACAAGGCCATTTTATAGCATCTGCAGCAGAAGTCTGGAAATGGCCGACTGCACAGCATCCTAATCTGTTTACCTTTACATACTGGTGGTGGACAATGCTCCCTCTAAATTGTGGAGTCTCATGAGCAAAAATTCTACTTCATGAGCTCCTGGCATTAAAGTTGTGAGCGAGCGATTTGGCTACTACATGAATCGGCTTGCTCTGGAGCCATCCTTCCTGAGCGAAGGCAAAAGTGTGTGAGCTGGAGGCTAAAGAACTGTGAGCTTAGAGCGAACACTGGTGGTGGAAAGTGCCATCAGGTCCCAGCCAACTTAGGGATGCCAGCCTGCAGGTGGGACCTGGGGACCCCCCAGAATTACAGCTCATCTCCAGAGATCAGTTCCCCTGGAGAAAAATTGATGCTTTGGAAGGTGGACTTTATGGCATTAGATCCCACTGAGGTCCCTGTCCTCCCCAGGCTCCACCCACAAATCTCCAGGAGTTTCCCAGACTGGAGGTGGCAACCCTATTGCCTATCCTCCCACTGGGGCTGGGGACCTGGCAACCCTATATGAAGATCCTGTGGGGTCTTCAAGGCGGAAGATGAACAGCGGTAGCTTGTCATTGCCTGGATCTGCACAGCAACTCAGGTGTTCCTTGGTGGTCTCCCATCCACATACCACCCAGGGCGGATCCTCCTTAGCTTCTGAAATCTAGCGCCAAGTATGGAAGACAGCCTCTATGAGCTAACAGAGCCAGACCCAAAGGAAACGGCAAAAGAGGCGCTAAATATCCAAATGATACAAAGTGTACTCAGTGTTCATCAGACAATCAGTAATCAGTCATATTGTCACGGAAAATCTCATAATAGTTGTTGTTAACGTTCTCCTCTGGAATGACGTATCGTTTCGTTGAAACTTCCTCTGAACAATGTTTCTTTACTAATGGAAGAAAGGAACTGGCGGGATGTCTGCGCCCACCCCCTCTGGGCATGCGCGGTGGGGTTCCTGCGCATGCCCGGGGGGGCTGGGCGCAAAAATCCATTGAAAGAGCTTGCTACAGCACCAATCAAAAAGCGCGTGCGCACTGAATCCCCATTGGTGTGAAGCACAGAGACCACGACGAAGATTCAGTCATATCGTCACGGAAAATTTCATAATAGTTTCAAAGTTGTTAACGTTCTCCTCCGGAATGATGCATCGTTTCGTTGAAACTTCCTCTGAACAATGTTTCTTTACTAACGGAACGATACGCCATTCCGGAGAAGAGCGTTAACAACTTTGAAACTATTATGAAATTTTTCATGACAATATGACTGATTACTGATTGTCTGATGAACACTGAATACACTTTGTATCATTTGGATATTTAGCGCCTCTTTTGCAGTTTCCTTTGGGTCTGGTTCTGTTAGCTTCTGAAATCTGACAACGTTGGCCTAGCCGAGGCCAGCCAGGTCAGAGCATGGCACCTGTATATCCACATTCTCTTGGTGTTTTGTACATATATCTGAAAACAGTCTAATTTAAGAACATAAGAACATAAGAGAAGCCAATGTTGGATCAGGCCAATGGCCCATCTAGTCCAACACTCTGTCACACAGTGGCCAAAAATACCAGGTGCCATCAGGAGGTCCATCAGTGGGGCCAGGATACTAGAAGCCCTCCCACTGTTGTTCACCCCCCCAAGCACCAAGAACACAGTGCATCCCTTGCCCCAGACTGAGAGTTCCTATCTATACCTTGTGGCTAATAGCCACTGATGGACCTCTGCTCCATATGTTTATCCAGTTCCCTCTTGAAGCTGTCCATGCTTGTAGCCGCCACCACCTCCTGTGGCAGTGAATTTTACAAATATCAAAGTATAGAATATAGTAGCAAAGGTGTCGGCTCTTGTAGCAAAGCAAGAAAATAAGCTAGGTAGAACTGAGTAACGTTATATCGCGGGCAGGAATGTCCATAACAACAATAGCTCTTTGGTCATTTCATCGGTCATATAGGAATTGTTCTGTTCTCACGCTCAATTCAGTTCCGTTGCATTGGGGAAAAACACACTTTAAAAACAAAACAAAACATGCCTATGTTAATTCGCTGCATTGAATCCTGAATGATACTTGCTACCTCAAAGTCTCTGTAAGGTCAATTGGAATTAAAGTTCCTCAACAAGGTTTTGAGCTTTGTCCAGCATATATAGATATACAAATACAAGGGTTCTTTATAGAGAAAATCTAGTGCAGTATTCAGAGAACAGTGGATTTTGCTTATTACTTCTGGACCAAAATACTGAAGACAAATGTATACATCTCAGGGGGTCATCTTCTGTGCTCCTGTAATGTAGATCTGCTTGTTCAGTGCTTGCAAAATTTGTTAGGAGCCACTTCGGTAAGGGGCTCTTTTTGTAGCAGGAACTCCCTTGCATCTTAGGCGACACACCCCTCATGTAGCCAATCCTCCAAGAGCTTACAGAGTTCTTCTTACAGGGGCTACTGTAAGCTCTTGGAGGATTGGCTACATTAGGGGTGTGTCGCCTAATACGCAGAGGAGTTCCTGCTACAAAAAGAGCCATCCATCTATCCATCCATCCATCCATCCATTCATCCAGGGCTATTTTTGTAGCAGGAACTCCCTTGCATCTTAGACGACACACCCTCTAATGTAGCCAATCCTCCAAGAGCTTACAGAGCTCTTCTTACAGGGGCTACTGTAAGCTTTTGGAGGATTGGCTACATGAGGGCGTGTCGCCTAATATGCAGAGGGGTTCCTCCTACAAAAAGAGCCCTGGAAGAACAGGACATGAAGACTCAAATGGTAAGGCAGAGGAGACGTGAGTCAGTTGGTTACAGGAGGCACTTTTTCTTTCCTCCCCTTTTTTGCATTTTAAGCTTGCTGCTGCTACTTATGGAGCGTATAATTTGATGTATTCCAAGTATATCACAGCAATATCTCCAACGCCATATCCAGTTTTTCCCTCTTGGTCCTACAGTGTGGATTCAGAAGTCCACCCTGTCCTGACAGCCTTTGCCCAGACGATGCTCAGTCAATTCTAGGGCTGCATAATTAAAGCCTCTTTCAGCAATCGCAGGGGACCAGGGCGGAGGGTATGCCAGCATCCTTGGCACCCTGGATATTGTGAAGACCGTCATCAAAGAAGATATGGGGCTGGATCTTGGACAAGATGGGACCTTTGGGAGCTCCATCCATGAAGAAGGCTTCGTCAATTGCCAGGCCCCACTCTCGAAGAGTTTTGATGGCCCGAATGCCCATGTCACGGCCGCTGCGGGCAGTTACCAAGTAGGTGCGGATGGAGGATTCCTCTTGACCAAACTTCTTGCGCATCTTCCCAAGATGCAAAGCAAAGGCTTTCAATGGGCCCTGAAAAATTAGTGTCGGTAAGAGAGGAGGGGGGTTATTGAATTATTCCACAGAACGGAGAGAGAGCAGAAACTGAGCAGATCAATCAATGATGGCCAGAGACCAGCAAACAATACAATAAGAGAGAAGTAAACAACAAGTTTTTTGCTAGGAGCTGCGGTGGCTCAAGTGGTTAAGATGCTGTGAAAGGTCGGTAGTTCAGCAGCTCGAGACCCGAGTGTGCCGCATGACGGAGTGAGCTCCCGTCTCTAGTTCCAGCTCCTGCCAACCTAGCAGTTCGAAAGCAAGAAATTGCAAGTAGATAAATAGGTACCACTTCGGTGGGAAGGAAACAGCGTTCCGTGTGCCTTGGCGTTTAGTCATGCCGGCCACATGACCACGGAAACGTCTTCGGACAGCGCTGGCTCTTCGGCTTTGAAACGGAGATGAGCACCGCAACCCTAAAGTCGGACTCGACTGGCTTTCGAGCAAGGGAACCTTTACCTTTACCTTTAAACAACAAGTTTAAAAAAACAGTAAAATTAGAAAATATAATAACATCTAAAATTATAGACAGGAATCTAAAAAGTTTAAAATACAGAGAGGGCAAACATTAAGATCAAAGGTTAAAAATAAATCTAGGCCTATCCGTACTTCTTTCAAATGCCGCAATGCATTTAGAGGCTGGCCTGGTTTCGGCGGAGGCAAGACTGTGGATTGCAGCTTTTTATTATTGGTTAAAACTGACATTTTTCCCCACCTACTGGCCTTACTCATACTATGATGCAAGATAAATTTGTCCCTTCATGGCAGAAAAAGATAGAGGATAAACTGGTTTATTATGGTTTTTCTATTCAGTTTATACTGTCTTTGGGATATGCTCAAGCTAGATCAGTTCTAAAACAAAGAATATTAGATGCAGAATGACAGATGGATGTGAGCAGGATTAGGAACCCTGTATTTGATGTAAGTACACTAAACAAGATAACTTTGAGACCTTACATCAAATATTTAGATATCTGTAGCCATAGAAGCATGTTTACCCTTTTAAGATATATTGGAGGCCAGATTTACTAGATCACTGAGGAAAAGTTGTATATGTGAGATGGGAACTGCAGAAACATTGGAACATGCAATTTTTGATTGTAGTTTATGTCATAACATTAGTGAAACTCTGGTTAAGCCTATTGTTAACTCCTACCCAGGTCGCAATCAATGTTCCCTCTAAGCTGCAGAGTCTTATGAGCAAAAATTCTACTTTGTGAGCCACTGGCATTGAAGCTGTGAGCGAGCGATTTGGCTGCTGCAAAAATTAGTTTGCTCTGGAGCCGTCCTTCCTGAGCGAAGACAAAAATGTGTGAGCTAGAGGCTAAAAAACAGTGAGCTAGCTCACACCAACTCAGCTTAGAGGGAACACTGGTTGCAATAGGAGGATACATTTGTCAATTACACTGGCGGGTAATAATCAAAAGCTGACTAGGATGGTTGCCAAATTTGGTTGGTTGGCATACCAAACTAGGAAAGAGATAAAGAAGTATGGATAAGCCTAGATTTATTTTTAACCTTCGATCTTAACATTAATTTTTATCCCTGTCTATAATTTTAGATGTTATTATATTTTATTTTATAATTTTACTGTTCTTTTACCTGTTATTTACTTGTCACTTACTGTATTGTTTGCCCGTCTATGACCGTAATAAATTGACGGAACTGAGCAAATCATTTCCTCCAGGAAACTGTATTAGGAAGATAATACTTTATCCAAGTGACAAGCGGTCACAAAAGCGATTTAATAAGAACGGCAGAAAGTACCCAACAGTTTTGAACACAGATTCACATGTATATTTGTGTGTCGTGATCGTAATTCAACATATAACCGTGTCCGTTGAAAAACAGAGACCAATTCCACACAAGAGCTGCGCCGTGGTCCCGCCTCCCTTTGCCCCGCTTCTATTGGTCAATTTCCCACACGAGAAACCACGGGGAAAATCGGGTGAAGCCGTGGGTCAAAATGCGGCCGCGCAGCTTCGAGTGGGAAATTGATCAATAGAAGCGGGGCAAAGGGAGGCGCGACCGCGGCGCAGCTCTTGTGTGGAATCGGTCAGAGTGTTTGAGATTGTGTGCTGTTTGAGCAGTGGCTGCTCAGGCACATAATTTGCTACCCATGTCATAGTTATTGTCGTGGGTCCTAGGTCTGCTGAGGCTGACTACTCCTCAGATGAGGAAGAGGCAGGAAGCAGCCCAGCCTCCTCTAGAGTCAGCCCAGAAGAAGAACCCTCAACTATACCTGAGGAGGAAGAGTCCCCAGCGGCTGCACAGGAGGTGCAGCCAGAAGGAGAGGCTGATCCTGGCCCAGCACTCCCAGTTGCAGACACCCCAAGACCAGACTCCTTGCCTAGTTCTCCTGAGTGCCCCAGACGTAGGGCACGCCAGAGGCTGACGATGCAGGAGCGAAGAAGGAGTGCCAGGCTCCAACTCCTGCAGAGGGAAGAGCTGTAAGTCCTTGCAGACTCAACCCCCAGGGAAGGGAGGACCTGCTCAAAAGCACTCAGTGCACCTGATTCTAGGCAGCAGCAACTTTGCTCACTCAGCCCCACTTGTGTGTGTGTCTCTCACAGCTGCTCCTTGTCCTTGCAACCTTGACTTGACCTCCTGGCTCTTTGACTTTCAGTTCTGACTGACCTTGATTCTGGACTGTGTTTACAAGCTCCCAGTGTGTGGTCTCTGTGGCAGCCAGTCAAGACAGCACAGTTATTAAGTAATGAACACGCACACATAAGCTCACCCATAATCTCTCTCAGGCCTCTACAAAGCCAGTGATTCACTAAACTGAACATACCCCACTAACAGGGGTTGCCAAGTGCCTGAGGAAAAAATGTGCTGTCCCTTTCATAGAGGTTCAATTGGATGTTATTTACTTCCATACCATGAAAAGCTTCACCTGCCCATTTCCACACATTAAACATCTATGAAAGGGGCAGGACTTCTTCCTCCAGGCATGTCGGCGACCCTACACACCAGCCACATACCACGGGCTCAGTTAACTTTCTGTTCTGCTGACTGAGGCTGTAAAAATGTGTGTGCGTGTGTGTGTATTCTGCCTGGCTGTGTCAGAGTCAGACTTGGTGGGTCACAAGTTGTGCAGGCTTCGTCTACCTGCAAAGGGTTGTAAGTTGTAGAAAGGAGCAGTCACCCACATCTGCAAAATCAGTCCCTGTGTGTTCAGCGGGTACAGGAAAGGAATGAAGATAGGGAAACCCTGTCAAGTAGAACAGGTAAGCTTACATCTCCCATGGGCACAGCTTCCATAATCTTCTCATACTGAACAGCCTCCTCCAGCCCCTTCTCGCGAAAGATGCGGTCCGTCTCATCGGAAAAGAGTACTGCATCACCATCAAAGACCACACGCAGCTGAGTGCTAGGAGCTTGTATCTCCTGCTGGAAGATGAGTGCTGCTGAAACTCCTGTGCGACAAACAGGTTGTCTTAAAGTGGTTTACCAGAGAGTCAGGGCTTTTTTGGTAGAAGAAGCTCAGCAAAAACTCATTGGCATAATAGGCCACACCCAACAGCAGAAACTCATTAGCATATTAGGCTACACCCCTGATAGCACAGCTAATTAGCATATTAGGCCACACCCTCCCTTCCCTTGGCTTGCTCGGGCGCCCCGCAGCTTTGGGGAGCCTGGACAAACCGGCCCTTGGACAGGCCAGGGAAGGCACTGGGAGGCATTTAAATGCCTCCCCAATCCTTCCAGGCCCCCCCCCGGCCCGCCCACCTCAGAGTCGCTGTGTGTGGGGGGTCGCTCTCCAGGCCTTCCCTCTGTAGCCACGCATGCACAGAGGTTTTGGCTGTAGTGGCCTTGGCCAACTCTGAAGCCAGCCGGAACTCCGTTCCTGTGCCTTCCTGCCCAAAAATAGCCCTGTGAAATAGTCCATTCTCCTGAGCTCAAAGCAGGAGGGAGAGGCAGATGTAGCATATCTATAGAGGATGAACATGCAGATTGTTGGAGGAATGCTCTGTGGCTGTACAACCTCCTCACAACAAAGCATAATGTTTTTTGAAACACCGCAACTGATGGCTGTCATCCACATCCATCAGCATTCAGAAGAAGGCGAGCAAGTTGCCTTTGAAGCAGCTGTCCACGTAATGGGAATATTCGCCAAGTGGAGGTTGTGTGGGGAAGGGGATAGGAGACAAACCGCAGCTTCCCCCTCCTTACTAGCTGGGTGGGGCAAAGTTTCTCAAGAGATTTCAGAAATGCGGAGCAACATTGCACGGAAGGCTCTTCCTCTTTCACAAGGAGCAGACTTTTTGTTACAACTAATTTACTTGAAAGTGTGCAGCTGAACCAACCGAATGTACAATGTCACTGCAGCTGCTGCTCACAGTCCCTGGGATGTATCTTGGGAAATAATTTGGTGCAAACCCAAAGACTTTTGAACTACCCTTAATAATGCCTCTTAGGTAAAGGTAAAGGTTTCCCTTGTTCGAAAGCCAGTCGAATCCGACTCTAGGTTTGCGGTGCTCATCTCCGTTTCAAAGCCGAAGAGCCAGCGCTGTCCGAAGACATTTCCGTGGTCATGTGGCTGGCATGACTAAACACCAAGGCGCACGGAACACTGTTACCTTCCCACCGAAGTGGTACCTATTTATCTACTTGCAATTTCTTGCTTTCGAACTGCTAGGTTGGCAGGAGCTGGAACTAGAGACGGGAGCTCACTCCGTCATGCGGCACACTCGGGTCTCGAACTGCTGAACTACCGACCTTCCACAGCCTGCAGTTCAGCGTCTTAACCACTTGAGCCACCGCAGCTCCTAGAATAATGCCTCTTATGCCTCCTTAATAAAGAATGCTCGCCCTTATTTCATAGACTGGATGGTTCTGTTAAGAGAGTACTTGTGGAACTGGTGGCAGGACACGAGGGAGGAATGGTAGGCCCAGGATATAAAGTCAAAGGATAGCAACGTATGCAAGGGCAGGTATGGAGGCCGCAGGGGAAGCAAAGAAGAGAAACAAACCTCTCTGAAGTGCTTTGCATACATCTGTCCGATCAGCAGAGAGAAACAGTTTGACATTGTGGGTTTTCAAGTACTGGGTAGAGTCTTCTTCGCTGACGAAGCAAAACTTGGAGATTTCCAAACCTTAAATGGAGAACATACATGAACACACATGGAGCTGCTTTATACCGAATCAGGACAAAGAAGAAAAAAGGGGAAAAAACTGAACCTAAACCTAGAATTCAGAACCTAAAAAGGTTAGTCAGGAATAGAAAAGGGCCAACTCTAAAAATCTAATTACAAAAATATATGTGTGTGTTTATTCAACATAAATTAAAATAACAACCAAGGGCCCATTCATACCTCATATAAAACTATAAAAACATACAAGGGCTAACAAGATAGACCTAATAAGATAAGACCTAACGCGTTTCGGCCTTTACAGGCCTTCCTCAGAGGTCTAATACATACAGAACATATTGGCTGATGTGTAAAAATACATACATACAATTCCACATATACAAAATATGGAATAAAGACCAGAAAACAATTGTTCCAAAGTTTAACCACTGGGCAAGGAAAAGAAATACAAAAATGCAAATGACGCCTCCAGTGTAATTACATGTCCAGTGGTCAGGGGTCATTTCGTAGAAAAAGAGCTAGGGGGACTTATTAGCATAACTCATTAGCATATGCCACACCCCCTGACATCACCGGAAGTGTGTCCTCCCCACAGCCGGCGGCGACCTCCAGCGGGCACCAGCAGGGAGCTCCAGGCCCCGCCCCTCCCGCCCCTCACCCAGGGGGATGGCGTCCCCCCCCCCAAAATGACCCCTGCCAGTGGTACTTCTCTCTGGTCAACTGTATATTCTTCTGAGGTTGTACAGCCAAATGTTCCTAAGTACATTTCTGGTCTTTATTCCATATTTTGTATATGTGGAATTGTATGTATGTATTTTTTCACATCAGCCAATATGTTCTGTATGTATTAGACCTCTGAGGAAGGCCTGTAAAGGCCGAAACGCGTTAGGTCTATCTTATTAGGTCTATCTTGTTAGCCCTTGTATGTTTTTATAGTTTTATATGAGGTATGAATGGGCCCTTGGTTGTTATTTTAATTTATGTTGAATAAACACACATATATATTTTTGCAATTAGATTTTTAGAGTTGGCTCTTATACCGAATCAGACCATTGGCTCATCAAGGTCAGTACTGTCTACTCAGACTGACAGCAGCTATACAGGGTCTCAAGCAGAGGTCTTTCACATAATCTGCTATCCAGTCCTTTCAACTGAAGATGCTGGTAATTAAACCTGGGACCTTCTGCATGCCAAACAGATACTCTACCACTGAGCCACAGCCCCTTCTCACAAATCAGTTTAATGAGGGTTGCAACTGGAAATGCAGAGCTTAAGAAAAACAACAACAACGTGCTATTGCAAAGACTCAGGGAACACTGTCCAGGACTATGGTCGAATCTGCATTTGCATTTTTAAATCAGTTTTGTGCTGCTGTGACGCCGTCTTTCTCTATGCTTGTTTGAATGCTGTTTGGAGAAGATTCTTTTAAAGCAGTGCAGAGGTGCAATGACAGTGGAGTCACCCCAAAAGGACGATAAACATATGTGGGCATGCAAAAATATGCTAGCACTCTTGAGGTGTGAAAACGACACCAAATGTAGACAGCTTTTTTGAAGACGGAGTCAAAAGGCTGGGACACCGGTGGGAAAGACAAATGCAGATTCAGCCTATGTTTTTCTATTCCCCTCCCCCCCATAAAGATCTTGTGAACAGGCTTTAATAACGTCCTCACAATGTGAACTAGCTGTTAACTTAAGTGACGAGCACAATGGGGAAAGCTGACTTCAAAGTAAAGGAGGGACAACCTACCATGCTGTTTAGCACTGTTGATGATGCGCATACCACTCTCTGGACTGTTATTAGACAGAACAATAACATCAAAGAGCCCCTTCTCCTCTGGGTTTCTTTCAAGGAGTTTCTCGTTCACAGACTGCACTGCCTGAAAGAACACCAAGACATACAAAAGAGTTGGTTTGACAAGACTTTGGCATCGAATGGCCATGAGCTGATATGCTGTGAGTGAAGACGGATATCGCATGTGGTGAGGATGGTGCGACAGTTTCGTCAGCACCATGAAAACAAAGATAGGCTGTAGCCACATGCTGCTGGATATTGCATGGTCATTGCACTACAGCTATTCACGACTGGATTATATTGTCTGCACAGGAAAACCCAGCTGCAAACGACTGCTATAGGTGCAAAGAAGGAAATGGCAACCCACTCCAGTATTTTTGCCAAGAAAACAAAAGGCTAAAAGATATGGTGCCGGAAGATGAGCCCCTCAGGCTGGAAGGTGTCCAAAGAAGGGGATGGCAAAGGATGAGATGGTCAGACAGTGTTATCGATGCAACGAACATGAAATTAAGCAAACTCTGGAGCACGACGGAAGACAGGAGGGCCTGGCGTGATGTGGTCCATGGGGTCGCGAAGAGTCGGACTCGACTGTGTGACTGAACAACAACGACAGGTGCAATGACAGCATAGTATCCAATAACATGTGGATGTAGTCATACATTTTAAAGACAGCCAGTACAGTATAGTGATTAAAGTGCTGGACTGGGGAGACTGAGGGTTAAGAACATAAGAGACACCAATGTTGGATCAGGCCAAAGGCCCATCCAGTCCAACACTCTGTATCACACAGTGGCCAGAAATACCAGTGCCATCAGGCATTGAATCCTAATACAAGAACATAAGAAGAGCCCTGCTAGATTACACCAATAGTCCATCTAGTCCAGCGTCCTGTCTCACACAGTGGCCAACCAGTTCATCTGGAACCAAGGCCTTCCCCTGATGTTGGCTTCTGGTTCTGGGATTCAGAGGCTTAGGGCCCCATCCGACCCCTGCTTCCAAGTATCCCCTAGGGATTTGACTTTCTTGTGTTTCCTGTTCAGCTTCCTTTTTACTGTTCCCTTTTTTTTATATATATATATATATTTATTTGATTTATATCCCACACTCCCCACCAAAGTTCCCTCTTTGGAAATCAAATGTTACACTTTTGAACTTTAGGGGTAGCTTTTCATAGACCTGAATGCTGAACTTAATAGCACTGTGGTCACTGTTCCTAACTGGTATAACAACCTCTACATCTCTTGCCAGGTCTTGAGACCGGCTCAGAACCAAGTCCAATTTCACCACCTCTGGTTGGCTCTGTGACCAACTGTTCCAGTGCAGTAATTTATGATGTCTAGGAATCTCATTTCTACAACATATGATTGCCTGGTCCCCTCATTGCTCCGGCCGGGCAGGATTTGGGGGGGCCGTTCCAGGGGTAGGCGGGGATGCCCTCAAGCTCCATCCCCAAGCATGACCACCCACCCGGCCACCCCTCTCCGTCCCCACCTGCTCGATTTAAAGGGCTTTGGCTGATCGCCGGGGACTATGTGGTCCACAGACCAGCTGGAGGACCCTTTAAATCTAGCAGAAGGGAGGCTAAAGGGTCTTTTTGCGAGCTAAGTGTATGGCCTGCTACCGCCCCTCTCCCTTCTGCTAGATTCAAAGGGACCTCAAGCTGGTCGGCGAGCTGCTGATCAGCTGAAGCCCTTTAAATTGGGCAGAAGGGGAAGGAGAGGGGTGGCCGAGCAGGTAGTCATGCTTGGAAGGCAGGGCTTGGGGTGGGCTTCCCCCCATCGGTCAGCTGACCGGCGTGGATTGAAGCCCCAGAAGTGGGGGAACCCCCAACCGGACCTGGGGGCTGGCAACTCTACTACAACATGACTCAAGCAGACATTTACCCAGTCAATGTGAGGGTAGTAAAAGTCACCCAGTATAATAGCATCATCTGCTTTAGTCACCTTCTTTATTTCCTTCTCTAATTCAAGATCAGCCTCAAGGGTTTGATCAGGTGGGTGATAGTACAACCCCACTTTTAAGTAATCCTTAAGCCCCAGTATTTCCACCCATATCATTTCTGTTGGGCAGTTAATTCCCCTAATGTTTTCTAATTTATTGGATTCTATTCCTTCTTTGATAATGACAACACCACCACCAACCTGTCCCTCCCTTTCCTGCCTGATAGATTTTTCCCATTCCACTATGTTTCTGAGATACCTACTATATCTAAATTGTCATAGAACACTGGCTTGGAGACTTCTAGCATTGGCATATAGACACCTATAATGTGTTTTCCACTCCAGTAACCCTCGCCTCCCTTGGCCCCTTAGTCATCACACATGTCCTCAGTCACCTTTGTGCCCTCACTCCCAAATTCTATTACACTCCTATCCAGGGGACATTTCCTGCAGGAGCGCACAGGAGTGGAGCTCCAGCAGTAAAGAGCCCAGGGGGCGGGCACATGCAACAAGCCCCACCCCCTGCTCCCAGCAGCCCCAAGCCATGAGGAGCAAGAAGCTTCTCTCTCTCTCTCTCTCTCTCTCTCCTTCTTTTCCTTTCCCTCCTTCTTTCCTTCTCTCCCTCCTTCTTTCCCTCCTACTTTCCTTCTCTTTTCTCCCTCCTCCCTTCCTTCCTGCACAGATCTGTGCGTTCCCCCACCCCCAGCAAACAATCCAAAACACTCCAGTGGCACCTTTAAGACCAAATTTTATTCAGGTACAAGCTCTCCCTCCTCTGCTAGGGCAGATCTGCGCGTCCCCCCCCCAATAGCTAGCAATCCAAGCGGGAACTGGGGAGCCTCAGGACAAGTCAGTCCAAAGGGATGATTGCGTAAACACTCAGGGTAATATTGATACGACACAGAGGTCATTGCGTAGAAAAAGAGGTGCAGGAGCTCATTAGCATAACTTATTTGCATATGCCACACACCCTGACATCACCGGAAGTGTGTCAGAAGGCAACACCCAGCGCTCAGGCTCCACTGGACTGTTTTGGATTGCTAGCTATTGGGGGGGGGACGCGCAGATCTGCCCTAGCAGAGGAGGGAGAGCTTGTACCTGAAAAAAACCTGGTCTTAAAGGTGCCACTGGACTGTTTTGGACTGGGGGGCGGGGGGGCTCTGCAACTTACCTGGCAGCTTCTTGCTCTGACTGAGGGCTGCTGGGAGCTTGTTGCATGTGCCTGCCCCCTGGGCTCTTTACTGCTGGAGCTCCGCTCCTGTGGGCTCCTGCAGGAAATGACCCCTGCTATAAAATATTTCATACACAAACACGCCCAAACACTTTACCTGAACAAAAGCAAAGGCTGTCCCTGGCTCCAAGGAGATATTCTCATTGTCTTGCTGATGTTTCACATATTCATCCTTGCCTTTTGCCAAGAAAATCTCATGTTCCTTTTCCAGGTTGAAAATTGCCCTTGTTGTTACAGCAATAACCAGCGCTTCATTTGGGTCTTTCTAAAGATGGGAAGCCCAGGAACAAATAAGGGACAGATTTAGCTGACCTTCTGGCACTGATCAAGAAGAAGAAAGCCACAATACAACTAACAAGAACTTCTGTGCATTTGCACTTTCTCCTCATCAAATCCACGGCACTTGCATTTTTCATTGATTCAGCATTGGGTTTGCCTCTCCTCCAAGTGAGTTCATCTACTTAGAATACCATCTGACAGAAAGATATACTTGTGTCCACACAGGTAGCACTGAAGATGAAATAACACTTGAACAAAAATATCAGGATTGGAACCTATAACCAAGGCTACCAAGAGCCATCATGCGTCCCCCCGATGGCCAAACTTCATACCACCTAGGCCCAATCCAAACAACATATGAAAATCATAGTGACCGGCAGGGCTTTTTTTGTAAAAAAAAGCCCAGCAGGAAACTCATTAGCATAATAGGCCACACCCAACAGCAGACACTCATTAGCATATTAGGCCACACCCTTGACAGCACAGCACATTGGCATATTAGGCTGCACTCCCATGTTACCAGAAGTGTGGTCATCCAGCCACACCCATCTTTTGCTTCTTATTCTGTTTACTTTGTTGTCAAAACCCAGAGGTTTTTTTGTAGCAGGAACTCCTTTGTATGTTATCCCCCACACCCCTAATGTAGCCAATTCTAATGAGTTTCTGCTGTTGGGTGTGGCCTATTATGTTAATGAGTTCCTGCTGGCTGTGGCCAACTCAGGAGCCAGCCAGAACTCCATTCCTGTGCGTTCCTGCCCAAAAATAGCCCTGGTGACATGCTTCGCCCATTTTTTGCCCTACCCCTCTCCGCTACTATTCAACTAGCAGGTCTCTACCATTACCACCACCACCCTTCTAACCAAATCAAAATGACTCTATTGGGCATGCCTTTGCCTTGCTTCCTCCAATCTGCGCCTTGAAAGGGTGCATAGTCATAGCTCTCAGATAAATAGCATGATCACTTCATTGCCCAGGATTTTAATTGTGAACTCCCGATGCTCAACAGGCCTGTCTCTGCTGAACAGGCTACAAAAGGTCTGCTTCATTTTATATTATGTATGCTAGAGTAAAATGTACTAGAAATAGAAGGCTGGAAGGACAGGATTAAGGATCAGGCCACATGTTGCACAGCACTCACATCTGTCAAAGCCCTGATAACCCTTCCTTTGTAGCGAAGTGCCCTCACAAAATGAAGATTTATCAGAAAAGAGAAGGAAGTGAAGGGTGTGCTAAACCCTTCCTCGTTCAGCCTCTTTACGGCTGAAACTTTCCATTTCTCATTTTGTGTGGTGAACAGGAGTGTGGAACCCCACAGACAGAAAATGCTCTTGAGTGTTTTGGTTCGAGTACTGATATTTCTGCTCAAGCCCTGCTGAAGTGGGAGCTGAGGTTTAGAAACCCTCTTCTTCTTGGTTTAAATCACCATTGTTTAGGATTAAGAAATGAAGACTGGCTTAAAGGTAAAGGTTCCCTTGCTCAAAAGCCAGTCGAGTCCGACTCTAGGGTTGCGGTGCTCATCTCTGTTTCAAAGCCGAAGAGCCAGCGCTGTCCGAAGACGTTTCCGTGGTCATGTGGCTGGCATGACTAAACACCAAGGCACACGGAACGCTGTTACCTTCCCACCGAAGTGGTACCTATTTATCTACTTGCAATTTCTTGCTTTCGAACTGCTAGGTTGGCAGGAGAAAACTGGCTTACTTGAATACATAAATCTGTATTGTACAGAGTTCTATTACTGATTCATATAGCCCAGGTATCTCGGTTTTAATGGCAGCTCTCCAAGGTCTCAGGCAGAAATTTTTTCTAGCCCTGCTACCAAATAAGTGGAGATGCCTGGGATTAACCTAGGACTTTGTTTTTTAACATGCAAGTCTTGTGCACTCTCACTGAGCTACAATTGAGTGGTTTTCTTTTCCATTACATGGCCAGATTGATTTTCCAGCCCTCGCTATGGAGATCAAACACATTCTGAAAATCGATCTGGCTGTCCGACAAGCAACTAGAAAAACAGGTTCACTGGGCATCCAGTAAGATATAATATAGGAGATTATTCCACACACCCTCCCTTTCATTAATTAGCAGCCCCATGTGGCTAATTTGAAATGTTGTTGTTCTTTTTATTAAGGTATTTCTGTACTGCTTTTCTCCCGCAAGGGGCTTACAGAAATTCCCAAACCAGATCGAACAAGCCAGACAGCAGCAGCAATCTAAACACCTCATGGGCTGCTTCCACACTAGGTTACCAAAACACCTGGAGAAAAACTTCTCGAACCTTTAATAGAGGCTTAATGTGCAGAAATGGACAGGTGAAGCTTTTCGTGGCACAGAGGTGAATAACGTCTCACTAAACCTCTACTAAAGGGACAAGACTTTCTTTCCCCAGGCCACTTGGCAACCATATTCCACACAAGGATATATCCTGTGTGGTCAGCTGAATGCCCCTGCATTTTGGGGAACGTCCACCTGATTCATGAGCCTCCTGGTACTTTCACCTTTTAGATGGATCAAAGGAGATCTCGTCCTTTGATCAGATCCAAGGGAGTATGGAAACTAGAAACTGGGTAGACACTCCATCCACAGCTAGTCTAGGGATAAGGTGGAGCTAAGCGCCACATTCCCACCCTCCCTAGCCTCTTAACAGGCTTTATTACCATTCATAGCCGAGCCACAGTGAAGAAGAAGAAGAGATTGGATTGATACCCCACCCTTCGCTACCTAAAGGAGTCTCAGAGCGGGTTACAATCTCCTCTCCTTTCCCCTCCCCACAACAGACACCCTGTGAGGCAGGTGGGGCTGAGAGAGCTCTTTCCAGAACTGTCCTTGACAGGACAGCTCTGAAAGAACTTATGACTGACCTACCCTTGCCTACCTCTGTCCTGCTTGCTACTACTTCTACAGTGAGGGCAGGGGTCATTTTGTAGAAAAAGAGGTGCAGGAGCTCATTAGCATAACTCATTAGCATAACTCATTTGCATATGTCACACCCCCTGACATCACCGGAAGTGTGTCAGAAGGCAACACCCACCGCTCAGGCTCCACTGGACTGTTTTGGATTGCTAGCTATTGGGGGGGGGGGGACGTGCAGATCTGTCCTCACAGAGGAGGGAGAGCTTGTACCTGAATAAAACCTGATCTTAAAGGTGCCACTGGACTGTTTTGGGCCGGGGGGGCTCTGCAATTTACCTGGCTGCTTCTTGCTCTGACTGAGGGCTGCTAGGAGCAGGGGGTGGGGCTTGTTGCATGTGCCCACCCCCTGGGCTCTTTACTGCCGGAGCTTCGCTCCTGCCTGCACTCAGGAAGATGACAGTAGTTCAGCTAAACGTTATTCCAGCTGGCAAGATGTTCCCCAAAATACTAAGGAGCTTTTGGCTCAGGGCACAGCCACTAGAGGAGGAAGCGTTTACCCTTCTAGCTTAAACCTTTGCAAGAAGCAGACACAAACCAAGCGTTTAAAATACTGAAGGCAAAGTACTGTTACTTTTAATAGCTTACCTGTCTCACACTGGTGTTTACGATTGTGTTTGCAGAGTCTGCCATCTTCTAACTGAAGAAAAAAAAAGAGATATCGAGACCTTGGAGACAAAAAGAGCCGTATGTCACGCTGCATTCTGTTTATGGATCAGAAACCTTGCATTTATCAACGGGAGAGAAAAAAAGAATAGATGGCATGTCTGATATGCTTTGCGCATAATTTCAGAGGGTGGTAGTGTGGGTGAGCAGTAGAAAAACTAGATCCGTGTCCAGTCGCACTATTTAGATGAACAAGATTGGGGGGGGGGGGGAG